CAACAGAGGCTTAGAGGGGCAGCCCTCAAACAATGCCACCAAGACTAACCGGTGCTGTGCGCATGGGGAAACACGGGTTCGATGGAACAGTTGGCACTGACGTACTTTATTTGGGTCATTTCATTTCAGTTGTGGTTGAACCTGTCACCGTTTTTAGCAAATAACTAAAAGCTTAGAAAAGCAATTCATTTCTATCTTCATGGTTTGTAGCAAATTTTCGGAAAATCAAAAATGGAAAGATCTTAACAGTCCCTCCCCTCAAAAGAAGACAAATTCTCTATAAAGGAATGGCCACAATAGAAGCCCAAAACAGAGAGCTCACTTCAAAGTTATTTTAAGAGGTGTCAACCAGCACTAACGCCAGAGTGTCAACCAGCTAAAATTATGGTTCAAAAACGAGGGTGACGTAAAGACATTCCAGGCAAACAGAAACGGCTCCCAGAGACACCCGCTGAAAGTACTTCTAAATGGGTGTACTTTAAAGAGAAAAAGGAAATTATCCCCAAAAGGAACTCAGAGATGAAAGAATAATGAGCAAAGACATTGGGAAGCACATGGGTAAACATGAAATCATAGTACCCAATGACTAATCTAGTAGAGGAAAAGTAAGATAGAGCTAAAATACTGGGAAAAAATAGACCTCAGAAGGAGAAAGGGGGATATTAGTTAATAACATTTTAAGTATCCCTGGAAAAAGAGAATAATACTAACAACTTTAGACCTTGCAAAGAGGGAATGTTAGCATTTTTATGGATAAACACTAAAGAATCAGAAAGATTTTAAGATCTAAACCAGTAAGAGGAAAAAAATGTAATTTCTTAGAAATAAACTCTCATAGAGCAGTAATCACAATAAATGTGAATGGCTTAATGCACAGTTATATAGATAGATTAGATGACAAAACAAAATCTAACTAATTATGTTTAACAGAGTTTGAAAGTAAGATAGAAGATCTCCAAGATGAGTACTAGTCAAGACACTTAAAAATTACTATTAATAAGATGGTAAATTTTATGCTATGTGCGTTTTATCACAGTTAAAAACAACAATAAAAAAGAGAAAGTTGGGATAGCTCTACAATCATGGACAAAATTGCATTATTTGGGATTAAAGGGGTTACTACATAAAGAGTTCAATTCACTGGGAAACAAACAATGTTAAACTTGTTTAATAAAATAGCCTCGAAACATAAAGTAAAAGTTGACAGAACTCTAGCTGTAGGGGGAAATATATAGATCTTAAACAATCTATCCTCACAGGGAGAGATTGTGGCATGATTCTCTCAGTAATTAATATATCAAAAGACCATAGATCTGGACATTGAACCCTGTACCCAAAATTTAGCAAATTATAAAATAAAAGACTATTTTAAATTATAGAATAAAATTTTTCTGCTCAGGTCCACAGGAACATAAACTCTCATAGAGCAGTAATCACAATAAATGTGAATGGCTTAATGCACAGTTATATAGATAGATTAGATGACAAAACAAAATCTAACTAATTATGTTTAACAGAGTTTGAATATTTGGTAGACCATAGAGAAAATTTCAACATACATCAAAGAATGGTGGTCATAGAGACAATATGTTCTGACTACAGGGTAACTATGTTGAAAATCAATAACCAAAAGTATTTAAAACTCCATTTTTGTAGAAATACAAAAAGCATACTTTAAAAAAAAAAACTCACAAGTCAAAGAAAAATCATAAGGAAATTTATGATTTCCACGTATAGGTATCTATACAAAGAAAACAAAAATACAAACTTGAAAAGATAATCACCCCCATGTTCATTGCAACATTACTTATAATGACCAAGATATGAAAACAACCAAAGTGTCCCTCCATGGGTGAATGGATAAAGAAAATGTCACACACACACACAATGGAGTATTACACAATGGAATATTGTTCAGCCATTAAAAAAAAAATCTTGCCATTTGTGAAAACATGGATGGACCTTGAGAGCCTTATACTAAGTGAGGTAAGTCAGATAAAGACAAATACATGTGGAATCTTAAAAAGAAAACCAACAAGCTGCGATTTCTGGGAGAGGGAGTGGGACCGTTGAGGGAGAAGTGAGTCAAGTTCGAGAAGGCAACATGAGCCCCTCTTCCCGTAAGCAGCCAGGGGGACATGAACTCAAAGTATGAGCCACTGCATGGTGTCACACGTGGTCTGGGTCTGCGGCTATCTGTCCCCATCACCGATGCGGTTGGAGGGCGAAGTGAAGGCTCCCCACTTGCCCAGCTGACCCCATTTCAGATCAGTGTGACATTGTCCCCCGAAGACACTCTGTGAGTCAATCAACCCATGGAAACTTTACCCACCCTGACCTTGAGGAACACGGAAACTGAAGAAGACCACTGGGCCTTGGTCCCACCCAAATATCTCTCCCCAGTGGGGTTCCACAGCCCTGTGGCTGCAGTCACGGGCCAGGGCTGAGAAGGGTGGGACCACGATGGCCACTGATTCTCACAGTGATTCTCACAGGCAGGACACCCTGTCCTCGGGTATGTGTTTAGGGCTCAGAGTCTGGGCTGTGCTGAGGAATAGGTGTGGGCAGGAAGTGGGCGAGGAGGTTTAAACAATGTTTATTCCCCCCATACACACACACACACACACACACACACACACACACACACACACGCCACTCAGGGAGGACAGGATGGTCACACATGAACGCTGGCTCAGGGCCAGGCACTGTCCTAAGCACTTCACATGTAGCAACTCCCCAAAATTTTTACAACCTCTGCCGTCTACACTATTGTTATTCTCGCTTTTAGTTGAGGAAACTGAGGCACAGAGAGGCTAAAGGAACTTGCCAGCCACAAAGCTAGGACACAAGCGGGCTGGCCCAGCTGGGAGTTCCTGCTCTGTAGCGCCCCCCAGGGAAGTACCCTGACACCAAAGTGAACCATGGAGGTCCTCAGGCCCCTGTGTTCACTCCACGAGGCATCACTGTTGCCCCAGGCCCCTCGCCCCAGGCTGCTCCGCTTGGTGACTGCGCCTCTGGCCTCACAGTTTGCTTCCTGAGGGCTGTCAGCGGGGCCGGATGAGGAGGTGAGGACAGGGTGGGTGCTGGCGGGGACGGGGAGAGAGCGAGATGTGTGACCACAGTTGGGGGCGGAGGCAGGAGGGCAGGGCAGGAAGCAGAAGTGATGTGAGAGGTGGCCTGGTGATGAGCTATAGGGTGAGCCTGCCTGGAGGGCTGACACATTTCAGAAGCTTCCTGTGACGAGAGAGGGTGTCTGTGTGGGAGCATCTCACTGCAGGACCCCAGGTACGGGGAAGCCGGGAGTGGGGAGGCTGGGAGTCCTGGGTGGGGTCAGGAGGATCTGGAGGGGGGCTGCTCCTCTGGAAGAAGAGCCTGATGGGGCAGGAAGTGCTGTGACCTGTAAGACGAGAGACGTGGGTCCCGGGCTGTGCTGGTCACGGTCCCCCTGGGCAACCTCCCTCTGACGTGGGGCCTCCATTTCCTCATCTCTAACATTAAGAGGTTGGAATGCATAGCTCTGAGACCCCTTTACATGTGGACAGCGAAGCTTCTAAGAAAGCTGGAAACAAGCTTCCTGGGAGACACTAAGATGGGGGCCCAGAAGGAGCTGAGCTCCTTGGATTGAGGGTCTGAGCTGCACTGGCCCCCGGAATGGGATAGCCCTCGGAGGGGCCTTTGAAAGACTCCCCTTGTTCTGTTACTGCCCTGGGGGCTGCCGTGTTGCCCGGACCCCCACCATGCAGTCACTCCTCTGGGCCAGGCACAGAGGGAATGCCGGGGCAGCTCCTGCCCTCCACGGTCCAGGGGATTCAGAGAGACTGCCCTCCCACCACCTTCACCCCTGTCCCCCGAAGGTTCTGAGCGGGGAGCAGCCCCCAGGAGTTCATTTGCATAGAGCAGTGGTTCTCAGCCTTTCTAATGCCACAACCCTTTAATACGGTTCCTCACGTTGTGGTGACCCCCAACCATAACATTATTTTCGTTGCTACTTCATAACTGTCATGTTGCTCCTGTGATGAATCGTAATGTAAATATCTGTGTTTCCCGATGGTCTTAGGCGACCCTGCTAGCGGTTCTCAACCTGTGGGTCGTGACTGTATTAAAGGGTCACGGAGTTAGAAAGGTTGAGGACCACTGGCGTAGAGGTAGAGAGAGAGTCCAGATCCTAAGCAGGCCCAGGTGAGACCCCAGGGCCACCTCCAAATGAGGAAGAACCTTCTACCGTATCGCTGTCGGCTAGTGGCAAAAGGTAGCTGGTAGAACGCCACAGAGCGTTGGGCAGAGGGGGGGGGGGGAGGGGGGAAGATGCACAAGCAGGGCTGAGTGGCAGGGAGCCTGGAGAGCCAACGGGACGGCCCCTCCCACCCGGCATCTCGGGGCCTGTGCCTACGGAGAGCTCTTATTCTAGAAGGTAGGCAGATGCTCTTCCTGGAGGCTCAGGGAGAGGACCCCTGAGGGAGAAAGGGGAGAATGACACTGACGCACCTCATTTCCTCTCTGTTTCCACGAAAGGCTTAGTGGGAAAGAGAATGAGAGGGGCGAATGGGCCCGGAACGCATGGCTTGTTCCAGGGCCCAGAATGGCACTTCCCCAGGATCCAGTCTTCTCCCGAGTCCCCAGGCCCCTTCCCAAACCTGCTACAGCTACGCTCAGCTCCCCTCTTGTGCACACAGAGCCCCCTCCCCACCGGCAGCCACTGTGAGGACAGGGCCATCCATCTGGATCCCCAGAAGGCCTTCCATAGTGGGGATCTTAGCAAGGGGCTCCTCTGGCTGTGACCCGGGCAAGGCCCTCTCCTCTCTGGGCCCCTCCGTACAAGGTGGTGGCCAGGTTTGCGAAGGCCATTCCGGCTCTGACATCCGGTGACTTGAGAGACACCTCATTCCCTCCCCATTCTATGTGCCCCTGATCATCCGGATGAGGGGAGGTTGTCGGCCATTCTCCTCACCTCTGCCCCTAGCTTCCCGGGGTTCCGACAGCCTCTGTGTCTCCACAGCCCCATGGCCGCCCGTGTGTTCCTCGTGGGCATCCTGCTCCTGCTGCTGCCCACGCCTGCCCCTGCCCCCTGCTACACTGCTGCGAGATCCGAGTGCCAGAGCGTCCGCAAGGCGGTGCCTGGCTCCGAGCTGGCGGGGGAGGGCGTGGATGTGACCAGTCTCAGGCGCTCAGGCTCCTTCCCGGTGGATACCGAGAGCTTCCTACGGCCCGATGGCACCTGCACCCTCTGCCGCAACGCCCTCAAAGGGGGTGCCCTCCAGCGCCTGCCCCTGGCGCTCACCCACTGGCGGGCCCAGGGCTCAGGCTGCCAGCGCCATCTGGCCAGGGCCAAGGCCAGCTCCACAGAGACCGTGGCCAAGGAAGCAGCTTCCAGCATCCGCAATGACTGGAAGGCAGGGCTGGAGGTAAACCTCAAGCCCAGCACCAGTGCCCGCGTGACAGTGGCCGGCTCGCACTCCGAACAGGCCAACTTTGCAGCTGACAAAACCCACAAGGACCAGTACAGCTTCAGCACCGACACAGTGGAGTGCCGCATCTATAGGTGAGCGCCGGGGGTGCTGGCAGAGGGGGCTTGGCAACGTTCTGGGGGGTGCTGGGTGGTCCGGGAGCCCTGGCATGGCACAGTGGGGTCTTAAGGCTGCTGCCACCAGGAGGAAACCACAGCCCAGGTCCTCACACACCAGGTGGTCCAGCACCCGGTGGCCCTGACCTGGAAGAGCCCAGGGAGGGGACAGCGGAGAGGAAGTAGGCAAGGCTGTGCTGAGAGCCCTAGCAGAGTGCCTTCAGGCCTACTGAGGGCCCAGCCCCTTCCCTGGGCACTGCCAGCCTTCTGCGGGCAGGGGACCTGGCTGGGTCCCTCCCATCACGGAGCCTCCTTAGTCCATTCAGACACTATTCATGTCCGTGTTGCCAAGCTCCGTGCTGGGGATTAGGGCTCCAAGGCTGAGCACCAGCCCTCAGGGACTGAGGTCCCACGCCTGAGAAATGCGTGGTCCCATTGGGCAACCCCAAACCCCCTGCCCTGAATCCTCACCCTGAAAAGTCACCTCACAGTGAGTCAGGGCACCTCCACCTGCATGGCCAGAGTCGTCAGCAGCCCAGGCATACGGGGCCCAAGCCATGGGACAGACAGACGAAGACCACAGGACTAGCATCCAAAGCTGCAGCATCATCACTTATGTCATTAGAAAATAAAAAGGAAAGGAAAACTTTATTTTGAAAAGGAAAAGTGGAAATGCCTCAACAAAGTTATTGAGGAGGCATAGACAGGGTATGTTTCCTGGATTCGGGTCCCAGCTCTGCCATGTGTATGTGACCTTGGGCACTTGAGGGAGTTACGGAATCCAGGACAGACCACCCTCTGCTGGGCCCACCTGATGTCTTCCCCTCCCTACCTCCCCCCTTCCCCCTCCCCCCAGGTTTCACCTGGTGCACGCTCCGCCACTCCACCCCGAGTTCAGGAGGGCCATCAGGGACCTGCCCCCCCACTTCAACGCCTCCACCGAGCCCGACTACCGAAGGCTCATCTCCAACTACGGCACCCACTTCGCCAGCTCCATGGAGCTGGGCGGCAGGGTCTTCGCCCTCACCGCCCTGCGCACCTGCGAGCTGGCCCTGGGCGGGCTCTCGGCCGACGAGGTGGGGGCCTGCCTGGCCGTGGAGGCCGAGGTCAGCATCGGCAGCCGCGCCAGCTCCTCGTCGGAATACAAGGCCTGCGAGGAGAAGAAGAGGCAGCACAAGATCGCGGCGTCCTTCCACCAGGCCTACCAGGAGCGCTACTCCCGGGTGGTGGGCGGCCACCACACCGCGGTGTCCGACTTGCTGTTCGGGAAAGACGCGGGGCCCGAGCAGTTCTCGGCCTGGGTGAGATCCCTGGCGGACAGGCCCGGCCTGGTGGACTACAACCTGGTGCCGCTGCATGAGCTTCTGCGGAAGCAGGACCCGCGGCGGGAGGCGCTGAGGCAGGCCGTGAGCAAGTACGTGATGGATCGTGCCCGCTGGAGGGACTGCAGCCGGCCCTGCCGCCCGGGCCAGCAGAAGAGCCCCCACGACCCCTGCCAGTGCGTGTGCCACGGCTCCGCGGTCACCAACCAGGACTGCTGCCCCCGGCAGAGGGGCCTGGCCCGCTTAGAGGTGATGAACTTCCAGGCGACGGGTCTGTGGGGAGACACATTCACATCCGCGGACGCCTACCTGAAGGTCTTCTTCGGGGGCCAGGAGCTGAGGACGGGCACGGTGTGGAACAACAACAACCCCGGGTGGGCGACGCGGCTGGACTTTGGGGATGTGGTCCTGGTCTCCGGGGGGCCCCTGAGGGTGCAGGTCTGGGACCAAGACTCTGGCTGGGACGACGACCTGCTGGGCACCTGTGACCGGACTCCGCAGGCCGGCCAGCACAGGGTGGAGTGCAGCCTGCATCACGGGCGCCTGGCGTTCTCGTACCACGCCACCTGCCTGCCTCACCTGAAAGGGGCCACGTGCGTGGAGTACGCGCCCCAAGGGCTTCTGGGGGAGCCCCCGGGAAACCGAAGTGGAGCCGTGTGGTGACGGCGGGGGCCTGAGAGGACCTGTCTGCCCGGACTGAAGGGGTTCTCACGGAGGGAGCCAGGGGCTGTCTATCTTCATATCCCCTTTAGACACAGAGGAAATGGCTTCCCCCGCCTTTTTTTTTTCTCTCGGTGAGGTGGCTGGACTTATAGGCAGCCCTGAGTCTCCCCGTCCGAACTGCCTTGGCTCCCCAATCTTCTGGAGCCCAGGAAACCAGCTGCCACTGGGCCGTGGGAGCCATGGCCGCCGGCCGCTGTGCAGGCCGCAGAGAGGCCAGGAGCTGGGCAGAGGGCCAGGAGGCCACTGCCTCCAGGCTGCTTGGTGACCTCAAAGGGCTTCCCTTCCTAACACGGTGGGTTTTCATCATTTTAGATCTCACCCTTCTCTCCCAGCGGCTCTGTGTTCTGTCTTCTTTGCGTCTCAGGTAGATCTTTGCCTCTCTTGACCTGTCCCGTGTGTATACAATCTGGCAGAGAACCAATAAACGCGACGTGACGACAAGTGTCATGGAGGCGGCTGTGACAGAGGAGAGGGTGGGGACCAACACAGCCCTGGAGACAAGCGTCTACTCCCCCACCCCCGCCAGCGGCAGGTGGCTCACCCCACGGCAGGCAGGGATCCAGGACTTGTCTTCCCCTTTTGTCGGGAATGTGGGGACCCAACCTATTTTACTTTCCGCATAACTCTCTCATTTGAGAAACATCAGTGTCAACTTACATGGCGATGGACATTCTGCTCCCAGCTGTGAGGCCATAGGGAGTGTGTGCGCGTGTGTGTGTGTGTGTGTGTGTGTGGAGGGGGTGGGGGGTGGGGGACTATGGTGAACTAAAGGACCCAGGTCTACTCTAGGGGGTGGGAGCTGCGCTGTGCACCAGCCAAACATTCGCAGGCAGGAATGTGAGCCCAGTGAGAGGCCAGTCTTCTAGATTCTTAAAAAAAAAAAAAAAAAAAAAAAAAAAAAATATATATATATATATATATATATATATATATATATATATTATTGATTTTTTACAGAGAGGGAGAGGAATAGAGAGTTAGAAACATTGATGAGAGAGAAACATCTATCAGCTGCCTCCTGCACAGCTCCTACTGGGAACGTGCCCACAACCAAGGTACGTGCCCTTGGCTGGAATTGAACCTGGGACCTTTCAGTCCTCAGGCCAACGCTCTATCCACTGAGTCAAACCGGCTAGGGCTAGATTCTTAAAGTAACCAGAAATCTCAATTTGACTTCTAATTGTTGACAATTCCTTTCACCTTGTAAAAAAAACAAAACAAACAAAAACAAAAGCCTGATGCGGGAAAACATGGGACCAGCCAAAGAGAACATGGAGGAGGGCCACCCTTGATCTGGAGCAATCAGTTTGGAAACTATTTCCTCAGGACCCATGGAGAGGCTGACAGCTCTCCCTTGTCCCACAGTCTCCGAGAAGGGGGCCGTGGGTCCAAGCAGGAGGTGTCGGAGGGCTACCTGGTCAGCGTGCAGGCAACGCCAGAGCCTTGGGGTCAGGTGTAAAATGAAATGGCCTGGGTTTCCTGTGCCTGGAACACAGGCCTAGGAACAGGCCCACAGGCTGTGCAAGGCCGTGGTCGGGGCTCAGAGCTGCCGGCACAGGCCTCCTGGTTGATTATCTTTGAAACCCGCTGTAAATCAAGCCCTTGAGGCTTCAGTGAACCCCCAAGTGGCAGTACACGAAGCCTGAATCCTCCAGTGGGACGGGAGGGATGGGTGAGCGCTAAAAGCCAGTTAAAAACCACCGTTCTTAGCATGTTTCCGCTCGCAGCCACACACACAAACAAGCGCAGGAGAGAAATCTTGAAACTGCACTCTGGCTGCTGCACTGCTTGAAAATGAACTTGGGTGGGGAAGCAGGGAGGGCCAGGGCGGGCTGCGGGATAGGCTCTGGTGAGCAGGGGCGGGGGGGGGGGGGGAGGGGGAGGAGGGTCTTGGTCAAGTACCCACATGGTCGGTGACCTCCAACAAGCCCCTCTGCTCCCTGGGCCTTGGTTTCCCTCCTTAGGGTACCGTGAGCCTCTCTGGTTCAGTGCTCTGAAAGGGTCCTGAAGGGTTACCTGGTTAGCCCTCCTGGTGGACCTGTAGGGAGAGTGAGGCCAGAGGAGAAGGGACGGGACTGACGGTAGGCGTTAGGGGCCAGGTGTCTTCGTGTCCTGGCACTCCGTCCAGCACGGCTTTGGAGAGAGCAGCAGGGCTCAGAGAGGGACGTCCGGAGAGGACCAAGCCCCGCTCTTGTTGTGGGGCTGCTATGGAGCCCTCAGCCCTAACAGAACCCAGCACGTTTTTGTCCCCACCCCACATGGACACGGAGGCACCTTGTCACACCTGAGGCCCCGTGTTTGTCTGAGAAGTTCTCCACTGTGCCAGGTGCCTGCCTTTTGCCCTCCAGGTCCGGTCTGCACCCTGCTCCTCCCTGCTCTGGCCCAGGAGGCTGACCCGAACGTCCGAGCCTGCCTGCCAGTGGGCAGAGGCTGGAGGGAGGGGAGAGCTCGGAGATTAGGCATTCACTCCACTCAGTGTCTCTCAGTGAGGCAGCCTTGGGTCTGCTCAGTCCCTCTTCCTCTCCGGGGGTCTCTGCGCACTCTCTCTTTCTTCCTGGATTCCAGCAACCGCCCCCTGCCCTCATCCCTTCAGACCTAGGGGCAACAACAGCTCTACTGATGTGAATCCTGAGTGACGGCACTATCCCCCATGCCTCCCACACCTTTATAAGCAAACTCCCTCAAATTAGTACTGCCTGAATATGTCACTCGCTTCTGCTAAGGTCTGAATGCTGGTATCCCCTCAAAATCCACATATTGAAAACATAATCCCCAAGGTGATGCTATGAGGAGGTGGCCTCTGGGGAGTGGTTACGTGGGGTCACTGCCCTTATAAGGGCCCAGAAAGACCTCTGCCTTTCCCACCATTTGAGGACACGGCGAGAAGGCAGCGTCTGAAACCAGAGTGGCCCGCGGAATCTGCTGGCACCTCGATCTTGGACTTCCAACCTCTGGAACTGTGAGAAATAAATTTCTGTGGCGTTTCATTTGAGCAGCCCAAATGGCGTGAGACGCCTCCTAGTGGGACCCTGATGGCACACCACCTATGCGTCCTGGTGGGAAGCAGCCACCTCCCCCACCAAGACGGCAATATGCCCACTCCTTGCTTCCCCACCTCTCCTGTAACTGGGAAAGGACTTGTGACTGGGTCTGCCGGTTGGATGCACCTGACCCAGGTGTGGCGTCTCTTCACAAAAGGTCAGGATCTGAGTGCAGATTGTTTATGCCGGAGGCAGTCCAGGGAAGCTCCGGTAGGGGAGAGGGGAAGGGTGCAGCGAAGGGAGGGTGGCCTGTAAGAGGGACACTATCCTGCAAGTCACGGCTGTGGGCACCCCCCCACCCCAGCCCTTAGTCATTGGTTTTCTACTTCTTTCATTCTGACGTGGAGTCCAGTGCTGGTGACAATATATGCTGGTGGATGACACCACCACTCTCCTTCTCCCTCCCTGCTTCAGCATGCACACCCCTTTTCCAACCATTCTCCCACCCCCCTGGCGGGCCCATGTCCTGAGAACCTCCGCTCCACTGTCCCCAGCACCTCCTTCCCAAAGGCATGAAGTTCAGAGGACAAGGAACCATTTGCGGTTCCATCAGTCAACAGACGGAGCACCTGCTGTGAGCCGGTCCTGGGCGGCCAGTGAGGAAGCCACACAGAGCGTCTGTCCTCTTGCAGCCAGACGGGAGACATAATGGAAGATACGGGGGGCAGGGTGACATTGAGGTAGGGGGCTTGGCTCGGTTGCTTTTCTCTCGTTTACACATACCTACGCGCGCGCACACACACACACACACACACACACACACACATATGCGCGCGCACACGGTCCACGTGATCTCTTCCAAGACCTGGGCTGCTGTTGACCACAGCCCTGTTTGTGTCTTTAAGCAGTTGCTGCAGCACCTTCATCTGCCTTCACACATGCTCCGTGGTCTCTGAGGTCTGGCCCTGGCTGCCTGGGGTCTGGGTCCGTGTCTCAGATGTGGGCAGGGGAGGGCCTGCAGAAGAAGCTGAGGGAAAGCCTAGGGGAGGTGCAGGAGCCCCTTGTGGCTTTGCGAGTCCTCCACAATGTTCTTCATCCCCCAAAATCTGTCACCGAGGCCAGCCATCTCTGCATCCTGACATTGTCCCCTTCAGCTCGTCCCCACAGCCTCTCCAGCCCCAGCCACCACCATCTCCTCCCGCGGCCTCCTCACTGATCCGCAGGCTCCTGTCTGCCCTGGCTGTCTCGCCAGCCATAGCCACAGTGGTGCCCACACTCTGCCCGTGTCCCCTGAGCACTCCCCCTCTAAGCCAGCCCCTGCATCTCTCTCTGAAGGCCCATCCTGCAGCCCACTCTGCCTGCCCCTTTGGAAGACCACGGCTGTGGGGAAGTGCCCATGCCCTTCCCAGCCCAGAACAGAGCTCAGAGGCCCATGCAGGCGATCTATTCGATCCCCAGCTCCCTTCACTGAAGGGGAAGAACTCTGAAGGGAGAGCTTCCAGCAAGATTAAGCTCCAATACCCACAGAGATGACTTACTTGGCCACACACGCTCTCTTGGCTGACTCCCATCCCCGCCTCAATTCCCCTCTCCCCTACGGGTATTTCCTGGAATCACCTCCCACATAAATTACCCGGCCCCTGTCTCAGGGTCTGCCTCTGGGGAAACCGGGGGAGAAGCCCATCTGACCCAGCAGGGCCAGGCCCACCACCTTCACCACATCATTGCCTTGCTTAAAACCCTTCATTGGTTCCATGTGGCTCTTGGGATGAAACTCAAACCTCCTAATGGGACACACATGCCGACCCCACTCTCCACTCTGCTCTCCCCTCGCTAAGCCCCGCCTCCCTGAGCGTGTTGGTTCCTCCATGGGCCACGCGCTCTCTGGCCCTTCACACATGCTGCCTCCTCTTTCTGGGACTTGTCTCCTCTGGCCTTCGGGCTTCAGCTTCAAATGTG